TGTGCATCTTCACCAATCATATTGGTTTAAGGTACCCAATAACATATGGATAGATTTGGAAATGGATTTGGAACTTCAGACTTCGGTATGAAACCAAGCATACTGTTTCCTTTCACAAGCCAATTATCCTTTGATAGATTCCACTCTCCGAGTCCTTTACTAGCTGGTAGGTTAAAGGAAACCTCACCCTAAATAATAAGTGTAGGCCTAGGTATGCTGAGAGTTAAGATTTATTACTGCCTAGATATTGAATGACATTATTATTAACGAAAATGCACAAGAGATACATACAAGAAGATATTCTAGTCATGATGTAATGCCTTTTAGCATGACTTGGGCAAAGCCATTTTCTTAGTGATGTTATGCTAGGAGTCCACTGGGCCAGCGCCAGTTGGTGCCAGTTCGCGCCAAAGATTATGTGATTGGCGCGTAGTGGCTCGCTGTGGCGCCAAATTAATGTCCGCTCGGCATGTGTCGCCAAGTGGAATATACTGGGTGCAATATGGCGTGCGCCAAATGCCACCCGGCTTGCTCCAAAATGTTGCTCCAGTTTGCGCCATTACACGGCCATTTGATTCCAAAATTCACCCTGTTGGCGCCATTCGCGCCACTAGGACGGCTACTTTGCGCCACTTGGTGATTAGTTTGTGCCAAAGGTCGCCAAATTGGTTTGAACTTGCCGCCGCTTGGCGCTACTTGCCGACTATATAAATACCGGCCATCGGCTACCTGGTTCAGACCCTCCTCAGCTGCTGTATGAACAACATCTCTACTTAATATTTACAATTTTGATATGTCTGAGGCTTTTGATAATGTTGGAGTGATAATGCTGCTCCATCAGAAGATGATGAGAGATGCTGAGGTGGCCACTGCCTATCAACGTATGCTGGCCAATCATGAAGAAGAAGAGCCTCCTAAGAAGAAAAGGAAGCACAACTGGTGGTTTAGACCCATGCTCCACCCACAGTTGAGGGCCGAACGTGGACAGTACCACACTTTGACGGAAGAGCTGAGGGAGAATGACAGGAGGAAGTTCAAGAACTACACCAGGGTGTCCGCAGAGATGTTTGATGACCTGTTGGTCAGGCTTACACCCCACTTGCAGAAGAAGGACACCCACTTCAGGAAGGCCATTCCCCCTGGTCTCAAGTTATTCGTCTTCCTGCGCCATCTCGCCACTGGGGCCACCTATGCCGAGCTGTCTTACAACTTCCGAGTGGGCAAGGAAACCATCTAGAAATTTGTCCCTGATGTAGCCAGAGCAATAGTGGATGAGTATGCTGCAGAAGTCATCTCCCTCCCCACAACCAATGAAGGCTGGCTTGAGGTTGCAGGTGATTTTGAAGCCAGATGGAATCTTCCTCACTGTCTGGGAGCCTATGATGGAAAGCACATCCGTATCAAGAAGCCCAACAAATCAGGCAGCCTTTACTTCAACTACAAGCAGTTCTTCTCGGTTGTCCTGATGGCTCTGGTAGATTCAAAGTACCATTTCCTGTTGATCGATGTGGGTGGGGTTGGCCATCAGTCTGATGCCCAGATCTACAACAACAGTGAACTGAAGGAGTGCATTGAAGCTGGCACTTTAGGCATCCCAGATCCAGCTCCTCTTCCCCGTGATGATGAAGAGCACCATATGCCGTACTTCTTCGTGGGAGACGATGCCTTCGCCATGAGGACGTACATGATAAAGCCCTATGGCCGTCGTAACATGGACCAACAGCAGAAGATCTTCAACTACAGGCTGTCCAGGGCAATTCGTGTGGTTGAAAATGCCTTTGGTATTCTGGCTCTGCGGTTCCAGTGTTTCCTTGGCGCAATTTGGCGCGTGCCGTTACATTCCAGTGGATTCCAATAGGCGGATTGTTTGCGCCAAAGGGCGATATGTTCGCGCCATTTGGTGCCACTTGGCGGACACTTGGCGCTGATTGCTCGATGCAAGTGGCGCGACGTTTCTTGCCGCCACATTCAAATTTGGTGCCGTTACGGGCCACCACGAGCCAGTTGGGAGGCAGTTTGAGCCACTACACGCCACTAGGCACCTTATTGGCGACACTAGGCGCCACAGTAGATTGCATTGGCGCAAACTGGCACCAACTGGCGCTGGCCCAGTGGACTCCTAGCATCACGTACCAGGCGAACCTGTACATGTATCATGCACCAAAACTCTTATGGGAAAGACTTGTTATTGCAGTACAAAAACTTTACTTTTAAAAATCATAGCTGAGAAGGTAAAAATTGTATTTAGTTACAAAACAATGAGGGTAACAATTGCTATAAATTTATTTAAAATACTAAATTATAGCACTAGACAAATATATTTCATTTATGCAAAAGCTTCACTCCAGAAAAGCAACATTTTATTTATGCATTATGCGTTCTGACAATTGCAGGAAAAAGATAATAGCAGGTGAACGGCATACATCATTACCACACACACGTGGCAAGGAAGCATCTATCAATTTGAATACATTCACTTGATCACACTATGAATATGACTGACAATGAAAGCGGACAAAATATACAGTTCCTCAGGTAGACAAAGGAACATCCCTTCACTGCTATTATGTAAAAATGTGTAGAACAGGTGTCACATGCATATTCACCTTTTTACATAATAGCAGTGAAGGGATGTTTCTTGGTCTACCTGAGGAACTGTATATTTTGTCCGCTTTCGTTGTCCGTGATGTTCATAGTGTCATGGACCTATTACGGATGGACATTCATCGTTTTCTTAACGAATTCATTGTGATTGTCTCCGTCAATGCCGTCTCAATAACATTCCGTACATGTTTCTTCACTTTGATCTCATGATGGTCACCGCCAGAAAGCCGGGACAGAATCAAGATAGTAATTTTACACATGTTAATCTACATGCGCAGAAGATAATTAATCGCCTAAATCATGAAAAATCGATGTGCACTTCTGGCTTATATATAATCGAAAATTGTTGTTCCGTGTAATGTATTTTATTTTGAAAAACATGTGTATATACTAGACAGAGGTTATATTTGGATTGGTTGTGATTTAAAATCCCGTTTTCCCCTATTTCCTCATAATATTCCAGAGTTACAACGCTCATAAACATAACGATCATGGCCTTCTACTTGTTTTATAAAATGCTTACGCAGTCGTTATTGTTAAAACAGCTGAATGTTCTCGTTAATGCTATGGTCACATAACCCAGAAGTAGCCTGGTCGGCGGCCGAGCGGCGAGTTTTTAACCAATTCTGCCCGGCGGCTGCCCCCGGCCACCGAGCGGCGGCCGCCCAGGCACCGCTCGTTTTTAGGGCATCGCTCGGTCGCCGCTGAAGTTTTAGCGCGGAGTTAAAATTTGGGCGGCGCCTGCTCACTTTTCAGTCGCCGCCCAAAATACGCTCGGTGCCTGGGCGGTCGCTGACCGGGCCCCGACGTAATCGCTGGGCGATGCCTAATTCCAGCAGCGACCGAGCAGGCTACTGATCGGTCGGTCGCTGCTCTGATTTGTGACCATAGCTTAAGATGCACATAATCAGAAGGCGGTGACTATCATTGGATCAAAGAAAGAATCACGTTGAGTTTCCATCCGTATTAGATCCATGACTTGATAAACGTTAATTTGAATGAGAGGACGGGGGTGTCACGTACATGACTTTTTTTAACTGCTGCTAGGAAAAGACAAGACAACAAAACACAACTATATAAAGTTATAATTAAGTTTAATCTTAAGCCTTCGAATTGTGACGTTCAAGATGAACAGAACATAATTTACAAATATATTTACTTACATATTGGATAGCTTCCATCTGGTGAGTTAAGAAACATTGGTAGATTCATGCAGGCGCGGATCCAGGGGTTCTTAGCAAGGGGGGGGCCAAATTTGAAATCAATTTGAAAATCGTGCCGGCCAATATTTCGCTCAGTGGGGGGGGAGGGGGTAGTGAGCACTAATTTTTGTGTGTGTGGCCCTCGAAGATTTGAAAAATCGCAACCCCCCCCCCCCTTGAGCGCCGGGGGGGGGGGGCATCTAAAAAAAGTTTTTTTTTTCCCCTCTAAGGGGGACCCGCCCCCCCCCACCTTCCTGGATCCGCCACTGTTCAGTACAAAACAAAAAGAAGGGCGGATTATCCATCTTTAAGTAAAAAGAGGAAGCTAAACACATTTAGATCAAGTCACAGCTACCATGCAAGCTCACTGAACCCCTCAATCTACAGACCTAGTGACAATTTTTTGGATTCACCACTTGCAATTTATCGTTTTTCACGTTAACCCTTTCGCGACAATCATTCCACATTTTGTGATTTGGCCCAATAACTTTTGATTCAGAGCCTTAAAGATATGCTAGAGTCATGAGGAGAAAGGGCATGGATTTCTTCTAACATTCATTCAATCATTCATTTTAAAAGGGAAAATAGGATTTAAAATCCTTTAATTGGCAACACGTTGAGAGATTCAAAATCATTGATTTTCGATTTAAAAAACTGACAATTTGTGATCCTTTGATTGCATTCTCGCCCAGGTTTATTGTTTTCAGAGACATAGCATTTCTGCATTTGATCTTTACAATGAAGCAATGAAACGAGAAAAAAAAATCATTGCCTAATTTGAAGAACATTATATGCTCAATTTAGCCTTTATACCTCCTGTCCCAAAAGGGTTAAAATCCAGCTGAAATATGAGGCGTCATTTCGATTGCGTAACAGATACACACGCCAATCAATGGACCGTGCCAGGGCAATAAGGGAGATTACAGATACAATCTGCGCATGGGCAAATAAAGGTCATTTGTACCAAAAATGGTAAAACCCACCGAGATGAATACTGGATATGCGCTCATGAAAGTTATGTAACATTATTCATTTATGCACCAACGGTACATTCTATGATACGCAGGTGGAAGTATTCTTTTCAAAAGGGCAAACAAAAGGTATTCATGAAGCACATCTAGGACTTTGGCAGTTATTATTCTAAGATGCTCAAAGTGGAACTTCTCCATGTTTAAAAGATCTGTGGATATTTGGGGTCATTTGTACCGTGTGCTACATGTATCTGTAAACTCCCTTATTGGCCCAAATGCCAATAAGTCAACAAAATCTTTGCATTGTGTATTTTGCGACAACTCTTTGTATGATGATCTTTTATTAAATTGAAATATAAATCAGAATATGTTATTGTTTCCAAACATGGACAAAATATCTGGCAACATAGAGCGAAAGTTTGTACATGTATTTGTCATTTAGTTCATCAAACTGTACTTTGCATATCAATAACAATTGTAAATAGGTTTTTGAATACAGTTACATTTCAGGCACTTGATGCCTCATGGGCAACGGGCATAGAAAAATGTAAACATTGATTATTGGTTATCATCATGGGCAGTCCTACGGCAATGTGTGTATAGTCAGTAGTAGGTAGGATTAGTAGCATGCATACAAATATTATATATACATGTACGTCTGGAAACCGGTCTCAATAACTAGATATCTCTTTAATGATGCAATGTCTATCACAAGCTATCAGCCTTTCGGATGATGTAAAGTGTACTCAAGATAAAAAACAGAATGAATATGAATATGCCATTTCCATCACAAGCTAATAGTTTCCCCGATTACGTCATGTTTATACAAGGTGACATAGTAGCTACATATACGTGGGATAATACAGAATAGGGACAAAACTATCATATAGAATATACATCTTTTGTAATACAATGGATACTATTTCCATCGCAAGCTATCAGCTTCCCCGATGACGTCATGATCACCTGGGATGACGCAAGGTGAGTCCGTCTTTCATTAATCCCACTCAGTCTTCTTGATAGGCATATAGATGCGACCTTTTCTTTCTTCTTCTTTGACCTACACTTCGTTATTACGTGTTCAATCACACACGTCTTGTACTCGTTACCCGTTGTCACGACGTAGAGGGCGTCTGTCAGTGGATCGATGCAGGCATTCCTAATGATATTTCTGAAGGGGATTTCGCTGTGACCCCTTCCTCCGTTGATCTTCAAAACTCTGCAGTTGTCTGATGAGGGCTGAGCCAAAATGAGACCTGATGAAACTACACCACGCACAGCGGCATTTTCTCTAGACGTGATAGTGCGCAGAGTGTTACCATCATTTGGGTTGATTATGTATATGTTACTCTGACCCCACTCGGCAGCGATGATCATTCCTTCCGGGTCAGCAGCAGCATACACCCAAGTGTCATCTTGCGTGTTGTTTGTTGGTATTGTAACGTCAATGACCATCTTCCACTCTCTGTCATACACGGTAATGCATCCAGTTAAACGCTGTCCCGAAGCGACAGCCCGACATCCCGCCCTCCTTTTCCCGCACACTATTTTCCCATCATAGAGCGATGCACAGGAGACAACACAAGATTTATCAGTACTGCTGATTACTTTTTCAGTGCTTTTAGTGTTAATATCCAAAAGATATGTATGCATGTTACCTTCGTCCCAATCGGTGATAAGCACACCTGATGAATCAATACACCCCACAATTGTTGGGAATTTGATTCTTGCCATGACGTTGATTTCATCCACGAGCCTCCACACCCCATCGTACCCGTCGATTCTCCCATTGTACCTCTCCCTCCCAACACCCTCAACAAACCTCAAACATGATAGTGTGCGATTGATCCGCTTGGCCGCAGCAATGTCTAAAGGCATGTCCAGTGCATCCGTCACAGATCTGTCCAAGCCAAACGGACCTTCCACCTCGTCTCCACGGTTCATCATCAGATCATCAAGTTTTCGTTTGGCGTCCTGCAAAGACTTTTCCAACTTAGCAATCTGGGGTTCAATCACGTCTTGAATGTTTTCAATGTCCTCCAGGAGGCCGCATCTTTTGTGTTCTACTGGCGCAAATCTGCGTTCCGAATCCTGTTTGTTGCTCTGAAGTCTCCTCTCTCTCTCCTCATTATTCTTCCGAATCTCTTCATCATTCTTCCCAATCTCCTCATTCTTCTTCCGTACCTCCTCACTGATCTTTCGATTCTCCTCGAAAATCTTCTCATTCCTCAAGTCAAACTCGTGGTTGATTTTATCAGCCTCCCTGTTCTCCCTGTCCTTCTCCTGCTCCCTCTCCTCATCGATTGCCGAATCGACCTTGGCTTTGAGAGCGTTGAATCTTGCAGGGGCAGCGACTCTGCACTGACGAACTTGATCTTGGTGGAAATTATACAGCTTTCTTTTTGCGATGACTCTTTCGTTCAATCTATGCGCCATGGTTTCCCGACGATGACCTGCAAAACAAAAAATAGTTTGAATGCTTAGTTTGCATTGTTTAATTTTAGTGCTGTGGTTTATACAATTTACAACTAACTTATTCATACCGCATGTTAGGTTCTAGGACACCTACCCCCTGGACGTGCACCCGCGGATAACTACACCCAGTGCACTACCCCCTAGGACAACTACCCCCTAGGGTAACCACCCTCTAGGAAGACTACCCCCGGGAGAACTACCCCGGACATCTACCCCCACACATCTACCACCTAGTAAAACTGTCCCAGGACAACTACCCCCTCCGACAACCATCCTCTAAGACAATTACCACCCGGACAACTACCCTAGGGGTAGTTGTCCGTGGGTAGTTTTCCGGGGTAGTTGTCTTGGATAGTTGTCCGGGGGTAGTTGTCTGGGGTAGTTCTCCGGGGGTAGTTGTCCGGGGGTAGTTGTCCGGGGTAGTTGTCTGGGATAGTTGTCCGGAGGTAGTTGTTCAGGGGATAGGTGTCCAGATACGCACATGTAAATTTGACGTTCTGTATTTTTTTGTTTTCGTTACGCAACGTGGAATGATTGAATTATGGCCTTTGTTGAATACTTTTAGATGTAAGCTTTTATAGTATGTCACATTCTAGAAGAACATAAAGCGGGACAAACAAATCTGTCACTTACTTAAAAGTGGTAAATAGGGTATGAATATTAAATGTAGTTATTATCTTTACTAATCGAATTCCCCTCATTATTTATCATTTGTGCTTTCTTCTTTTTTGTTATCGATTGTAAATGCATGTAAATTCATGATACACTGCTCTATGTACTGAAAACAGATAATTATACAGTTAATTCAGTAAACCTCTAAAATTGCACCCTAGAATTATAATTATTATGTTATTTGTTTACATCAAACAATAAATCGTCTTTCCAAAGTAATACGTTTCTATCTCATATTATGTTCATACTGATAACATTTTATGCCATTTATGAATCTCCTCAGCTCCAAAAAATTATTATTCTTTATGTCATCTTCAGCTTGTACTTTTTTACTTTTCTTTTTCATCATTTTATTGTAAGATTTATACAATTCACCATTGTTTTGCAACGCATTGATGTTTTTTACAATGAATGCATTTTTTTTGTATTGAATAAAAGGTATAACAAAATCGAAGATTGCACTCCTCAGCATAAGACGCAATGATATACTGATAGCCTAATCCTAAAGCAACGTGTCGAGGTGTCGTACGTGGTCCAGACCCGAGGCGGCAAGATATTAAAAGCTACATTTGCCATTTTCCAACCAGGTGATGTAAATGGATACCCGGTAGGAAAACAATAATCCTCGCAAGCCAGACCACCTTATCAGGCTAGCTCGGCTACCATTTCGGATCAGCACTTGTGCACAAACACAATGACGCGCGAAACTACCACCAAAAAATCCTACTCGGTTTTATTAGTTTGAAAAACGAATGGCAACTGCGTGTAAAGGGCTTGCGGGGTTTTACCGAGCTCTGTGATAAGATTCAGAAATGTGAAAGGTATGACACGTCATAATAACAAAAAAGCCGTCGATATGCTGCGACATGTCTGAACGAGGCTTAAGAGATGTTTCGACAGTCGACAAGGTGGTGCATGCAGAAGCCGAAAAAGAACAAACAGTTATGAGAAACGATTTAAACAAACACAGCCTGTAGATTCAACAAAGCGAGTAACCTTTGATACGGTGTGTTCGTATAGGACGGCGCCCAATGCACCATGCACATATACAACTCACACAAACGTTGAAACGGTGGACCCAATTCAACATGGGGTTGGTATAATCACCCATTAGTGCATTTCATGAAGTTGTTAAACTATTAGTACTTCCCATCAACTTTAAATGTATGCCCATATACTCACCTTATACGGAACATGTAGCGACTTCGGAAATCGTTAAACTCCAGAGTTGGATTAAACTCACTACGGCTTTCAACTCTATATGGCGCTCCTTGTAAAATGGACTTCCCCTCATTGTGACGTCACGTAATTGTGAAATCCCGAATATGCGTAACCCCGTGGGGGTGGGGGGAGTTCACATTAGTCTTAACTTCTGAAACGTCCTTCATCTTATGATATTACCTGATTAGGTCTATAGGAGGGTGCCTGAATGTTGGCTAAACTTGTCAGCTGAATATGTGAAACTAAGAGTCGTAAAATGTTTTGTTTTTCATAATTTTCTTATTAACTAGAAATAGAATCAGGGTCTTCTTTCGATTGGACATGAGTTATGGTATCCTTTTTCTTCCGAATCTCCATTCGCTCGTCTCAAAGCAACCTCGATATTCATCGTTGTTTAAACATTCATAGATGTATTTAGTTACCCCTGTTCTCGTGCAAATTCCATAGGTCACCGACAAAATTATGACTATCGTTGAGTTGGTTTCATGAAACGACCCCCTGATTCGATCGTGCGGGACAGATATGGAGGCACAATGGATTCAATAAAGCGAGTAACCTTTGATATACATGCAGGTAGTGTATTCGTCTGACTTTCGTCTGACGGAGACCATGGCATCATGCACCGATACAACTCACACAGATATTGAATCGGTGGACCCAGTTCATAAAACAACAAATACACGAGGGGTTGGTTTAAATGGAATCAACCGTTAGTGCATTTCATGAAGTTTTTAAACTATTTATACTTCCTATCAACGTTGAATAATGTATGCCCATACAGGCACGTAGCCAGAGTTCGATGTTTGGGGGGGGGGGCACATACATGTAATCGATCGAGGTCAAAAAATGGGTCTAAAACAGTTCAACCGATCTTGGAAATTTTAGGGGGGCACGTGCCCCCCCCCCCCCCCCCCCCGTGCCCCCGTGGCTACGTGCCTGTGCCCATATTATACTCACCTTATAGTGACTTCGAGAATCGTTTAACTCCAGAGTGTGATTAATCTCACTGCGGCTTCCAACTGTAGATGGCGCTCCTTGTAAAGGGACTTCCCCTCATTCTGACGTCACGAAGTTTTGAAATCGCGAATCGCGTAAACCCCATTTTGGGGTAAGAGGGGGGGGGGGGGGTTTCGCATTCGTCTTAAATTATGTGTGTGTGTGTGTTTTTTTTTGGGGGGGGGGGGGAGATGTCTTAATATACACTTGACTGCCTCCTGAAACGCTTTCAAAATGTTAAGCTGGTGTCAACTTGAATGCTGATGTCTACACTTATCAGTTCTGATTACAAGTGAACCCAAAATGTTGAAAGGCAGTGTATTTAGCATCTCTCTCTCTCTCTGCTTCTCCCTCTCTCCCTCCTCTCCCTCCTCTCCTTGTTTCCTATCCCCCTTTCTCTCTTTCTCCCTCTCGTTCTATCTAATTTCCTTTCCCCAAAGCTTCTCTGTTCCTTTTTATCAAAAATTATCGATTGTTTTCTTGCTTTGTCTTCCCGTATCTCTCTTTTTCCCAGAGGGTTGGGAAAGGGTTGCAATAGTTACTTTCACGTCCCCCCCCCCCCATTTTCTCTCTTTCTCCCAGTCTTTCTTCCTTCCTTCCTTCCTTCTGTTCTTTCACTCAATATTTGTTTCTTTTTTCATCATTCAATTTTGGGGCACGAGCCCATAAAGGTCTGGATCCCCCCCCCCCCTCCTATTTACAAATAAATTGTAGTTCACTTGTCTAATCCTATCTCTATCTATCTTCTGTATTTACCTCTTGTCCAAGGCATGCACACAAATCTGCTATATGCCATACCGCAGCTTAGGTTAGTTACAAACGAATTTATATTGCTTTATTCGAGCCCCACAGAGTTCTACTTGATGAAATAAACATTAACAAGCGAACATGTAAAGTATTACATTGTATCCGATATTTATTATCAAAGACATACAAAAACATAAAAAATGAAAAGTTGAAAGGAAAATGCTGATTGTTTGGCGGGTTTGAAGATAATGTTACCTCATCCAAACATACAATATTTCTTACGTTTGGTTGATTTACGCATGGAAATAAACGAAGCCGTGAACACCTTTTTCTTGTTTTAATGAATACTATGTGTAAGGTTTCACATGGTTATCTAGCTGTCTATATTAGATATATATATATATTTTATATAAATTACAATTATTTGCAACGAATGGCAATACGAGACCTTACTTAAAACCCTTAAATACCGCCGTTTATTTAGGACTTAGACTGCAAGATACTATATAACTCAAACGTTTGCAATTCATCAACAATTCTGACTTCGTCATTTTTACACATATAGCCGTGCGAATAAACGACTTTGTAAGTTAATGCCATTGATTAAAACTTCTTTTTTTTCTTTTTCAAAAATAGTGTAAAATGCACTTTTGATGAATTCCAGTTCCAAATTCTGGCCCATTTTCATGAAATTGTGATATCTCTTGAATTTTAATGGAAACATGAACGTTATATTTTTTAAGATAAGACAAAAAGTACATACTGTTTTGTTTTACTTGCATGGCATTATTCCAGCATATAACAAAATGTATACACCTTTTTTGTTTCTGTGAAGCATTGGATCGTTTACTTTCTACTCTATTGTCGTTTACGGAGCTAACCAAAATGGAAGTTAAATACATTGATATTAACAATTGCGTTTCCGAATCTATATCAATTTTCTTCTCAAAAAACTTTTCAAAAAAATCATATTCCTCGTTTCGAAAGACCTCTGGTAGATCGGCTTATTTTATTTATCTTGCTCGTCGTTTCTTTGTACAAACGAGGAAATAAAGGAAGATAAACGAAGTGGCAAGTGACATGCGATAGATTAACGAAAAGCATACTTCAATTAAAATTAATACCAGCCTATAGGTCATAGACATGCGTATTCACAAAACATACGTTTTAAAAATTAAATTTCCATATAATAAGAACACACGATGGACTTAATAATAATCATGCTGTTATCATATTAAAGTTAATCTTCCACATATATAATATTAAACATGAAAATATAATTATCCAAGCAATTGATAATCGAGTCAACATCTTGTCACACCTACATAACTTTTATCGCAATAAAATAATTATCAGCTTTTAACAAGAATGGTAATATCTTTAGAACTCATTCATCATGGCTTACTTTTTATCTCTGTGACGATCTGAACATTTATAACTTAAAATATTGATTTGATTTGGCTCGTAACTGAATATGTATGATTATTATGATGCTACGGTGCAACCTGATAAATATTACGAGCATTTAACTAGTCACTTGGTATGCTTGGAGTGACTAGTTGTTTGTCCGTTACAAAAAGCAGTAATGACACACCATAAATTCGGAATAATTTTCTTGTACCTCTTTTCTCGAAGTAATTGTGAGTATTATGGTTTATTCTTGATACATAAAGTTTATAATTATCTTCTCAGAACTTAATTCATCAATCTAAAGAGTCAAAGAGATGATCAATAAAGTTCTGAGAAGATATCAACTTTATCTGTCAAGAATAAACAATTTGGTCATAATCATTTCTTTGAAAAGAGGCAAAAAAAAATCAAGCTTTATGGGCAACAGTGTATAAAATATTTCCTCTTCAGGTGACACATTCTATTCAAAATTAAATATAATGAATTTAGTCAAATCCTTTATTTAAAAAATCTACATTGAAATGAACCAAGATATTGGTGCTGGTATTGTAACAGTTTGGCAAAATACATTTTGAATATCTGATAGTCAAAATTAATTATCATTTTCACGAGGTAAAAAAAATAGAAATCTGCAGCGCTGCAGCATGACCTTATCCACGGACCTTTATCAAGTTCTGTTAAGAACGTTGATGGTCATCACGACAAAATTGTGTTTCACTAGTTATTTTGTTTATACCTTATGACATGATAGTTGTCACAATCCCTATCAATTTTATATTTTGTAATATTCACCTCCCCCCCCCCCCTCCTTTCCTTCAATGAATGCGAGTTGAATTTGTTTCTGGTTTGCAGCTAGAATTAGACAGTCAAACTTCCCTGCAGTCATGTTACAATACTTATTGTACATGGCGACTTTATTACTGGCTCGATATAATTGTATATTCAAATACCTCATTTCAATATTCTAATTGGGTTAGAAAAACAAATAATTATTTTCAAAAAGACAATAGATCACATATTTGAGTACCTTTCATGCCACATGCACGTAGTATACCAATGTAGTTTATACTGAAGGCTTCTTGGCTAATAGGGATTTCATTGAGTATGCACCGAACTTACATGAGTGAAATTTGTTCAGCATTGACTTATTTTTCTTCAGCTAGGAAATCGTATATCGTCAGATTAGGTCTCGGTAATATCAAATTTATTCTCTTGTTTATTACATTTCTGTCTTTATCAGAGGTTACTGCGAGTCTTCTTCCTCTTCCACTTCATCCTGGACAGTCTGTAAGGTTTGCCTGACCTTGGGTTTCATTGCCTTCGGAGCAATCAATTGCTGCAGGACGTCCACGGACTGTCTCCTGGGTGTGAGGGCGCTGTTGTTATTTGTTCCTATTTTCTTGGTTACCAGGATAAGTGTTACATTGCCATCAGGATCTGTGGTTTGCCACCTCTGTGGACTGATCGGCGAGCAAGAATTTGGAAGCAATGGCACAAGCTCACCAACCTCGCGCACCTTGAACTGCAGAAACGAAGTGTAAAGCGGTCTTACCGAATAGTCCTCAGGTATCCTCTTAAGCGCGAACTGGATGTCTGAAGAGTCTCTTGAGTGCGTTACAAAGTAACAGAAGTCCTCTCTTTGATACTCCACTTTTCGATTAAGCACTAGGGTATAGAACCTGATCATGTCTTCCCAGTTCTCTCGACTCGCGTATAGCATAAACCTGAGATGTTCTTTGCCGTAGTGGACTTGTCTCACCGCCCACAGGGGCATGTCCTGCTCGGTGGTATAGAAGTTCTGAAAGTTAGGCTCACAGAGGTAGTACTTCCCCGGAACCCGCGAGTTGTGGTGGTACTTCCAAGGTTTCCTCGCAAGGAATTCCTGCGCTGTGGATATCCTCCTGTCATCAACATCCTCATCGATGTGGAGGAACAACATAACGGACAATGCGGGGAAGACGTCTCTGGCGCCACCATTGGCTTTGTTGAATTGTCCGTTGGGTCGGCTGCGTTCTGCGATGTTGAACATCTTGAAAGAATGGTCGAAGTGTTTGACAAGCGGATGGATGAGTTTCCGAAGCTTGATACTCTCTCCAGGATCAGTAACAAAGTGGAGTGTGATTCCATAAGGATCTCTCGTCAAGTCTCCATCATTGGATTCATCGCCTGAAAGGTGTGAGCGAAAATCAAAGATATTGTAATGGTTTTATTTGTCTATTTAAGAAAGATAATGTTTAAGAGAATGATTTCGTATATAGTGCCATTCGACTCTGAGTGCATTCTCAAAGCATTTTACAAACAGAAGTAATATACATATTTTAAACAGAGAGCATATTGAATATTGAAATATTACAACTATATGTTTAGCATTATCAGAGGCCTACATATTGAACTATTTGACTATTTCATAATTTATATGTATCAATTTTGGAACAATTGGGAATCCACAATTTTTTACGTCGAATGTATTATCTATATTTCATCTTTAAAGTAAGGACTTCGCACTCCACTTTAAATAGATTATATACTGTTTTCTTGATTTGTAACAAATGTTTGTAATTAAATTCAAAGATGTTTTCTCGTACGGTGTATATATTCATTGAAGTATTAACAGTCGTATCACTTAAATGTTATGCATAATTTATGTCCAAACCGATCTAATTATAAGGTTATCTCAGAGAAAATATCCGGGAAGGCAAACCAATCAATCGAGGTTCAAGACAAATGATATAGATCTGCTTTTAAATTATAATTATACATTTACCGTTTTTATTCCTCGCTCGTGCCCCCAAATTGAATGGGGAAAAGAGAAAGAAATATTGAGGGAGGGTCATAGTTGCCCACATTGTTTGAACATATTTTTGAATTTTGAAAATGAAGATTTGTGAATTGCCCCCCCCCCCCCCCCCCCCCCCCCCCCCCCCCACTGAAATCGCAACCATATGGGGGCAAAGTTTACACTCTCTCGATACTTACTGGACACACTGGATCCTGATGGGGAGGACATGCCGAATTGGGGTGACGCCGGATCTATCGGCATCCTGCAAGACAGAAGGGAAAACAAGACACAAATTAGAAATAAACATTTTGATAACAAATAGTGGTATCCTGTATTTCAATACATCATTACATCACATTGTTCTTATTAATTAATTTAATAAAGTATAAGGTATGCTCCAAATGTTACCAAATATTGTATTATTCAAATGTTAACATAAATTGTCAAAGAATTTCATTCTATATGATGCTGGTTCAATGCAAGTTCTGGAAGGGTAGCTTGAAACGGTCATCAGATTTTACTGAATTATCCATGATGTGGTTGACAACGTATGGGACAAAATAGCTTGGACTTGAATAACGTTTTTCATGGGGAAACATCGGGAGTTTTAGTTTGGCTATGGTTTAGCTAAATGGCTGATTGGCTCAAAGTAGAGTTGGCTGGTCTCCCACTCGTCATCATTAAACGTTCATCAACGTTTCCCGTTCTACTGGTCTTTTGTTTTCAATATATTCGGGTATGACTGAGTGCATAGCTCATGATTCTTTGTGCAGTGTGCTGGTGATGCCTGACCTTTGACATGTTACCAACCTGAGGAGGAATCGGCCATTTTATCATGTTTATAGAGAGCTCAAATCTTATCGAATCAATTCACTTTTCGGCGATTCCTAACAGAACATACCACCTGAGGTTACTTTGGGCACATTTAGACACTTCATCGTTAATTATCTTGTTTGAAAATTCAGTCCCTCCTCTTGAAAATTTGTATACGGATTTTAAGAGACTGTGAACAACGAAGTAGCTCCCTTGTGTGTATATAGCATGTTCCATCTTTCAGTAACATGACATCGTTATCAGAGTAATTACCCAATCATTATTAGGCTGTCCAACACTTTAGATGAAACCATTACTCTCTCTCTCTCTCTCTCTCTCTCTCTCTCTCTAAGTGCCATATCGTTTGACTTTGGCGATCATGCTGTTCCACAACCCTCGGCTCCTAGCCATTACTCAACTAATACAATTCAGTGATTAGATACGTCACAATCCAGTGTAAATCCAGTGTAAATACAGCAGGTAGAAAATAATCTGAAATCTTCTTCCGTTGATGAAAGTGGCATCTCAGCATTTTCAGCTTTACAGATGAAAGATTTCAACAAGTTCCAAGAAGAAATATAATTATACAGTTTGATATATCTGCAGAAAGCGCATTTCAAAAAGCTTGTAACCTTCTTCGAGATAAAACTTCGAATGAAAATAGGGCAAACCATTGACCTATACTCTCCTTTTGTCATTCTCTGTTCACTTTCCCAAAGGAATTCTTCTAAATTATCTTTCGTCAAGTTTAGAACGGTGTGATCTATTAAGGTGAAAGTATACCCCGACCTTTTCATCGATATTGTACTTTTACGACTTAAAAGAAACTTCAGCTTGGTATGAAGCTTGCATTGTACTTTAACAATGTTGGATTGAACAACCCAATAAAATACAATACCAATACAACCTCTGCCCCCTCGTGTATCGAAACAGGGGAATTAACAAGGATTGGGGGTAGAGGATTGGGGGTAAAAATCGTTTTTATTGAAACTTAGATCGATGAGGAGAAGTCAAGTGTGACAACGGTGCCATGCTAACACCCAGATCATGGACCTACCTTAGTAGATCAGGAACCGAGACTAGTTTGTTATGTTGTGGTGTATTATGGGGCAAGAAACAGAGGGGCACAAGCAATAAGACATGGGGCGCACCGCTCTTACTACGAGGTGAATAAGCCATTTCCAGAATGGTTGCATAAATAAGTAGTTGGCAATGTTACAGTATAGCGACATGAAACCCCTTACATCAAGAGTAAAACATGTTTTGGTAATTGGTACAAAATTTAAAACCATAAATCAGATGTATAGTCACAACAAAAGTCTATGACCATCTACTCAAAATGGTTAATGTGAATTTTAATATCCAGTTATCTGAATCAAATCCTATTGAAAGTTTTTCGTATATTCATGAGTGCGTGAGCGTTCTGTAAGGATTTGAACCTACACCCTTCACGTTTATCACTACTCCATGAAGTCACCAAAGAACCCTCAAACTCTATACCTACTTATCAAATATCCATGTATTATTGATTCCGCACTATTTAACTTCGGCTGTCGCCCCTGGTTCGACCCACACTTCCCATTAATCCCATTAAAACCATACCCCTCCCAGCTAGGGCGTTTTGCTCCATCGACCATCAATTATCTCCAATCTCATTGTCTCTTCTTTCCTCATTGATGATAAATACTAAGAAGCCATCCATACCAAGACAAGAGAGACAGTTTAATGGCACCAAGCTATGATACCCCTGTAAAATCGATCTTCATTTCAGCTAAGTCGATGGTAATAAGTGATGCGTAAATGAGTGAATAATAGATTGAAAGTTAGAGCTGGACCCCTGGTTCCATGCAGCATTAAACAAAGGATAGAAACTAAATAAGGTTCTCAAAACTTGATCAATCAGAAATCATTGTAGTTTAAATTCCTTCCACCACTGAACGTGTCAAACGAGAGTTGTTTTCCCCCATTTTTGTTTGTTGTTGTTGTTGTTGTTGTTGTTGCTGTAAGGCTTTTGAAAACTTATCAAAATACACATTTAACTATCCAGACTTTACCGCTAAATAGTTACGTTATAAGATAGTAAGTTAGAAAAGAAGTACGAGAAACATTGGTAGGCCATGACTATGAATATGTGTAACTTTATATTTATTACTTTATGAGGGGGAATAAACAAAATAGAGAAATAGAGGAACCTAAATAAAGAGTACAGTGATGGTACTTGTGTATGTAGTGCTGTTGCGATCAATAGCCACTTAAGAGAAAATCATTTGGCAGCTGGATAGAGATGAAGTAGAAGAGAAATGAAAAATTATGAGAATGATTATTAAGTTGCATACCTTTGCGTTTTGGAAGGCGTTTGTGGTGGCATATCCAGGGAGTATACCCTTGTAATGAAACTTGATTGGTTTCTCACTAAAGATGTGATGATAAACAAGAATATCCCTCAAGAAGAGACAACTCGTAAACGCTCAAAGTAACCTCCTAACATCGAAATACTATGTTCATATTACCGACCTGAGTGGTGTGAAAACAGAACAAAACTTTGGAAGTGGTGGAACGCGAAATGAAAAGCTTCTGTCTTAGAAGACCCGAAGTAACAATAAATTAAAAAGACATAAGCTATACGACGAAATTTCTCAATGAAATGAACTGGTAAACGTTAAAAGGAACTTTTTGACATCGAAAGGATCGTTGCAGATGGCGGAAAGGTAAAAACGAACGAAACTTCGGAAGTGTTCAAACGCGGGATGCTAAATATCAACCGCCCTCGACAAGAAGATTCGACGACAACTTCTCTCAAGAATATGCAACTTGTAAATTCTCGAATTCGCTTTTTAACATTAGAAATAATGTACTACAGCAAGCGGAGTGGTTTAAAATATGGAGCGAAACTTCGATAGTGACAAATGTCGATCAGACAACTCAGCCACCATCTGAGCTAGAATCCAAGACGAAACTTAGTAAACATCACCAAAATCTTTCTTTTATACCACACACATTTCATTCCAATTGATTTGTGTTACGTTTTAGCCCACATTAACACGATTAAAGCACGCTACGTTTCATAGAAACTTGACATTATATTATTGCTCGTTCGATTGCAGAACAATACCAATCAATGAAACTCTCGTAAATTGATGTCGTCATTGTGTCTTTTGGCATCCCTCTTGGCATAGTTGGAGTGCTTCTGAGAAACGAGAGTAATCAGAGGACATGATTGGTCAGAGCATGATGGTGATGATGGTGATGATGGTGGTGGTAGTGGTGATGATGAGGATGGTGATGATGGTGATGATGGTGATGATGATGATGATGGTGGTGATAGTGGTGATGATGGTGATGATGATGGTGATGATGGTGGTGATGATATGATGATTATGATGATGGTGATGATGGTGATGATGATGGTGATGATGGTGATGATGGTGGTGATAGTGGTGATGATGGTGATGATGATGGTGATGATGGTGGTGATGATATGATGATTATGATGATGGTGATGATGGTGATGATGGTGGTGATGATGGTGATGATGGTGGTGATAGTGGTGATGATGAGGATGGTGATGATGATGGTGATGATGGTGATGATGAGGATGGTGATGATGATGGTGATGATGGTGATGATGGTGGTGATAGTGGTGATGGTGATGATGATGGTGATGATGGTGATGATGGTGATGATGGTGGTGATAGTGGTGATGATGATGATGATTATGATGGTGATGATGATGATTATGATGGTGATGATGATGGTGATGATGGTGATGATGGTGGTGATGATGATGGTGGTGATGATGGTGGTGATGATGGTGGTGATGGTGTTGATGATGGTGTTGATGATGGTGTTGATGATGAGGATGGTGATGATGATGGTGATGATGGTGATGATGGTGGTGATGATATGATGATTATGATGATGGTGATGATGGTGATGATGGTGATGATGGTGGTGATAGTGGTGATGGTGATGATGATGGTGATGATGGTGATGATGGTGATGATGGTGGTGATAGTGGTGATGATGATGATGATGATTATGATGGTGATGATGCTGATTATGATGGTGATGATGATGGTGATGATGGTGATGATGAGGATGGTGATGATGATGGTGATGATGGTGATGATGGTGGTGATAGTGGTGATGGTGATGATGATGGTGATGATGGTGATGATGGTGATGATAGTGGTGATGATGATGATGATTATGATGGTGATGATGACGATTATGATGGTGATGATGATGGTGATGATGGTGATGATGGTGGTGATGATGATGGTGGTGATGGTGATGATGATGGTGTTGATGATGGTGTTGATGATGAGGATGGTGATGATGATGGTGATGATGGTGATGATGGTGGTGATGATATGATGATTATGATGATGGTGATGATGGTGATGATGGTGATGATGGTGGTGATAGTGGTGATGGTGATGATGATGG